ACAGGTTGGTAAAAGAATTTACCAGAGGCTAAGTATAAGAATAGAAAGGGGTTTATTACGGGACACTGTCATAGACAGCAGCAGGTCACACAGGCAAGGGGAGCCTGCATGAGCACCAAGAGCCTGTTTTGGGGGTGTTTTGTGTTTTATAAAGTTGGTCACAAGGTGCCTGGTTGACTTGTCCCTGATTGGTTGTAGGTGAGGTAAGAGGTTTAGGGTCCGTGAAGGGCAGTGGGGTTTGACTCTGATAAGGTAGGCATTACCTGAGGCTATCAGTTTGTTAGGGGAGACACACCCAGCAAAAAATATCAGACATCTGAGAGCCCAGAAATGGGTGCTGTCAGACTCTAAAGGACGTCAGTTGGCCCAACATGAAACATATACGTTATAAATATATATGTTGACCAAGTTGAATGTGCATTGACTAACACGTATATGTTGACCAAGTTGAATTCATCTAGGAATGAGATTGGTTCTACACTATAAAAATTCATTACTATAGTTGTATTTTACTATATTAGCAAACTGAACGAGAAAAATCATATGATGATCTCATAGATACAGAAAAAATTCAATGAATTTCAACAACCATTTTAAACTCCAACATCACCTCAATGACCCTGTTAAACTTGTAATCCCCAGTACTCTCCAGTCCCCTTGCTTTGCTTTTCCCTATAGCTCTTAACAATCTAACATAATTTTTGTCTTTTTTAACTTAAAAAAATTATAGTAAAATATACATAGAATTTGCCATTTTAACTGTTTTTAAGTACAATTCAGCAGCACTAAATGCATCGCAATGCTGTGCAAATCATCACTGTTATGTCCAAAACTGTTTCATCACTTCCAATAGAAGCTGTACCCATTAAGCAGTAACTCCCCATAGCTTGCTACCCCCAACCCCGGTAACCTCTAATCTATCTTCTTTCCCTATGAATTTGTCTAATACATAATTTGTATGTTTTGTTTGTCTGCTTACCATAAGAGGAGAATCTTTGGCTGTTTATTTTGGAATTACACATAACAATATCTGGTTTTTGACTCATTTGTAGATTTGTAGCTATTTATTGTAGTATATTCACAGCACTCGTAACAATATCTGGCTTATTAAGTATTTGTGGAAGGATGGAAGGAGGACTTTTAGCAAAGCAGGGCTAGAAGGAAACTGTCTTGATTTAATAAAAGAAATACATAAAAAGCCCACAGCATACATCATACTCCATGGTGAAACGTTAAAGACATTTTCTTTAAAAGCAAAAAACAATGCAAATATGGTTTCATTTTTGTTTTACTTCAGAAACTTAGAAACATTTTAATGATTCAAACATGTAACAGAATAAAGAAGAAATGATAAATGCAAAATTCAGGATATAGGTTTCCTCTGAGATGGGAGAGAAGGGGACAGGACTGGGGCATCATGTCTGGTCTTCAACAGCAGTAAGAATGTTCTTTTTCTCACTGTGTGGTGGGAATGGAGGAGGCCAGCATTCTTTGGTATCTGCTTGATACTAGATGTTTGTTTTTTTTAAACCATAACATTGAATGAAAACAAGTCAGACAAATATATTCCGTATTTTATTAACATAAAATTCAAAACCAGGCAAAACTAAACAATCATTTAAATGCATAACGTCTATGTGGCAAAACTATAAAGAAAAGCAAGAACGATTAACACAAAATTTAGGGTTGTAGTTACCTTCGGGGGAAGCAAGGAGAATGGGACTGAGAAGGGCTTATGTGGGGCTTCAAGAGTATTGGCGATGTTGCCTTCTTAAGCTGGGTTTGGTATGTAGCTGTTCATTTTATTATGCTTTAAACTATGCATATAAATTATATAGCTTCTTTGATATGTGTGAAGTAGATAATAAACTGTTTTTTTTTTATAAAAAGCCAGTTTCAATGGGTAACTTAAATTCAGGTACTGTCCTAGACAAATTTCACCACCTGTCAAACATTTTTCCAAGCACATTTGGAGGGGGGTTGGTGGTGTTTGTCACTTGCTGATTTTCCTAAGTTTTTATATTTTTAGGCAATACCAGTTAACTATGAGCACCATCTTCTAATTGAAAGGGAAGAAATTTTCACTTAACACTCTAACACAGATGGCATTACTACAATCCTTAAAAAAAAAAGGTTTAAATTTTCTAGGACTTTTTTTTTCACTCTTTTTTTGTTGTTGTTGGGGGGAGGTAATTAGGTTTATTTATTATTATTACTTATTTAATGGAGGTACTGGGGATTGAACTCATGACCTCCTGCATGCTAATCATGTGCTCTACCACTGAGCTATACCCTCCCCCCTCTAGGACATTTTAATGACAGAGTACCCAAATACTCCCTCTCCCCACTGCAGTTTCTGTGATTATTAACATGTTTAGTTACTGTGGTACATTTGTTACAACTGATGAATACTGACACATTATTATTAACTAAAGTCTCTAGTTTACACTGGGGTTCACTCTGTGTTGTACATTCTATGGTTTTTGATAAATGCATGACACATATCTACCATCACAGTATCATACATAGTAGTTTTGCTGTCCTAACGTCTCTAGTCATATGTTGATGGACATTTATGCTGCTTCCATGTCTTGGAGTGTATTTATCTTTTCAAATTTGAGTTCCCTCCAGTATATGCCCAGGAGTGGGATTGCTGGATCATATGGTAAATCTTACTTTTAGTTTTCTGAGGAATCTCCATACTGTTTTCCATAATGGCTGCACCAAACTACTAATCTTTTTATCATCTCCATAGTTTTGCTTCTTTGGGAATGTCATACAGTTGGGATCATGTAATATGTAATCTTCTCAGACAGCATTTAGTAATGCTTTTAAGGTTCCTCCATGTCTCTCTGTGGCTTGATTGCTCATTTTTATTGCCAAATAATAGAAAGCCTTCTATCATCATCATAGGTATGTGCCAGGCATTATTCTAAGTGCTTTAATACATACTAAGTTCTTTAATCCTTACAACAACCTTATAAAGTAGGTACTAGTCATAGCCCCACTTTACAGATGAAACACAGGAGATATTTTACAGGAGAAACAGAGCAGAGCACTTTAAGTAACTTGCCCAAAGTTACAAAGCTCGTAAGTGGTGAAACAGGATTTGAACTCCAGGATTTTGGCTCCACAGTCATGCCCTTAACTACTGTGCTATACTGCTTCTTGTAAAAATGTCTACAATAATTTTCGGTGCCTACTTGTTTTATCAATTCACAGTGCTATACTCCAACCCTGCCTGCTTGAAGAATCCTCATCTTTATCTTTTGTCAATAAATTTAGTTGTAAAAATAGCAGAAACTTTTCCATCTAGCACATTATTCCATATGATTAACAATTATTAAACACTGCTGAGTAGTGATAGCTTTTTTGAGCCTTTACTGTATGCTAGACACTAAGTACTTTCCATAAACATTATCTTATTCAATTCTTATGACATCCCTTTGAGAAGGTGCAATTATTATCTCTCAGGAAACTGAGGCTTAAAGAGGTTGAACAACTAGTTCAAGGTCATAGAGCTAATGAATGGTAGATCTGGGCCTAGAACCCCATTGGAATTCAAGTCTGTGCTCTTAAAACGGGTATTCTTAGGAGGGAGGGTATAGCTCACTGGTAGAGCCTGCACTTAGCATGCAGTCCCCAGTACCTCTATTAAATAAATAAATAAACCTAATTACCTCCCCTCCCCCCACAAAAAACCCCAAACACAAACAAAAAACTGGTGTTCTTAACTGCTTTTAAATTGTCATTTGGTAGACCAAACCTTTCAAATTAGCATCACATTTCTAAAATAACCTGAAACAAATAAGTAATATGGAAGAATGTTAGGTGTGTGTGTGAAAATGTTACGGCAGCACTGGTGTTAATATTTTGCAAACATCGAATTGTTCGGAGGAATGGTTAAATCACCTAAGGTATGCCCACAGCGAAGAAGACTCTGTAACAGTTTTTAAAATGAGGTAGATCTATATGTATTTATATGGAAGGCCTGCAAGACAGAAGAAAGCAATCTGTAGAATAATACATACAGTAAAGCTCCTTTTAAAGGCTCAAAACTCTCAGCAGTGGCCATCTTTGGGGAGGTAAGCGGAACGGACGGCGAGTGAAGGCGGCTCTCGCTTTATAATCTATATAGTTGTGTATTAAAATTTATTCTGCGACAAGGAGGTACTCACGTAGCAGTTGTCTAAAAATGTTAAAAGACTTCAAAGAACAAACACAAAATAGTTATCC